CAGTTAATATAAAAGTAAGTTTTTATCCTAGAGTATCTAAATATGAAGATTATGGATTCTAATACTATTAGAAAAATTTTATCTGTTACACAAAACAGTGATGACTGTTGATAATTATATAAAATCACTTGGCTAGATTTAACGCTATTAGATCTAATATTGTTGGACTTGATATATCAGGCTTATAAAAGAGCTCCTGGATTAAAGTTTGTGTTTGGATCTAAGCAGAATTCTCTTAAATGTTACATTTTATAACTGAAATGCCAATCTTTTCATTTTCCACAGAACTTATAGATTTTAAAACTAGAAGAGTTGCTGCATTCCGGAAGAATCTAGTAGAACTGGCAGAATTGGAACTGAAACATGCTAAGGTTATTGTTTTCTTGTTTCTTGTTAATACCGTGCACTTTAGAAGCCAAAACAATACACAATATGTCCTAATTTAAAAATTGAGATGGTAATTAAATATGAGTGATACATAGATTGTAGCCTTTTTTAAGACAAAGGATGAGCAATTTCAGTTTGAATTAATATTTCAGGGTTACTTCTAATACAGAATATTTATTTCTGAATCAATTTTAAGATAATTGAAGCAACAAGTGTCATTGAAATTAATGGAAGCTCTGGCATCAGTTATATCTGCATCCATAATAAGTTGCAAGTTTGTATGCTTTTTCCATTTTTCAATTCACTAACTAGAAAAACCTTGGGCTGTTGCTTTCATAGCAGCAGTGAGGTACTTTGGATAGATGTTTTAGTGAAAAGTAGTAAGAGATAAAGTTATGTCTCTTAGATAAACTATTTTGTTTAGAGCAGGTTATTATATTTTTTTTCCAGAAATCCCTTTTGTAAATCCAAAAATAAGTCCTTGTCCAGTTCCTTTTTTATCTTTTTGTGATCTTTATTTTTGTGTCGTGTTTTCATTCTGATACCTGTCTTATAACCCTCAGTTTCTTTTCCCAATATTTCTCCATGAAGTATCCTGTATATCCATATATTCTTCCATATTTTTGTTTGCCACATATTTCATTTCTTCTTCACAATCATCTTAAACATTTTCAGGTAGAGAGATAATTGCTGTCAGATTGATTATAAATTTGTTTTCCAGTTCTTTAAAAATATTTTAAAATATCTCAAATGCCATATCTTTATTTCTCATTTTGCAGATTTTACTTTTCTTTTTCCTGCCTGAAGCTTTAATTTCCTCTAATATTCATGAAATTTCAGGTTTCATTACTGTTTTGTTTTCAACTTTCCACCAATGATTTGGTACTTTTCTGGTAGACTAAACAGTGTGCATTCCCATGGAAATGTTTTGTTTTACTAATTTTTTCAAAAACTTTAGCAAAAGTCCTAATATTCCAAATTTGTTTGGTTCCTTAATCCATGTAAAACTTTCTTAAAGTCTTATCCAGCCTTTTTGCCATCTGTTTTATATTTTAAAATTTATTTAAGCTTTTAAATTTCAAGTTTTTAATATTTCTTTTCTTAAAACAATTTTTGAAAATTGAAGGTCAGCTTTGATTGAACTAGCATATAAGGCTTAAAAGTAATAAAAATAACTATACTCAGACTTCCCCAGTCTGAGTATTCTGCTGTGTGGGCTTTTAACTATCACAATTCCTAAAATAATATGACAATCTTTACATTTTAATTGATAAATTGAGTTATAAGTTTTGAATGTATGTTTTATTATATATTTTCATTGCTTTTAATGCCAATTTGCAATATAGAAAATGAATATCAAATTGCTTCTACTTGCACTGTAGCTGAACATGCTAGTGTTAGTAATGGGTAACTGTAAGAGCAGTTTATGAAAATCCAGAAGCTACTAAATCCCAGTACAATTTGTAGTGAAACTGGATTATATAAAATACTGTCTTGTCAGTTCACCTATAATGATTAGCATCTTTAATAATGTTACTAGTTTGAAGTAGGAGGAAATCATAAATTAACAGTAACTGCTGTGTTTTTTTCATTACTACAGGGCAATTTACAGCTGTTGCAGAGCTGTCTGGCAGTGCTTAATGGTGATACATAAACCAGAATCTGTCATCCTGTTAATAAGGGCTGCCTTCCACTGGAATTTACGACTTTGTGTTAATATTTACAACTTGGTGGATTTGTTGATAAAGGATACATAAACACGTTCCTTTTTTCCCAAAAAATAAAATAAAATCATAAATGTATCAGAATAATTCCAGATTATATGAAGCAACAATATATTTGCTACATACAAATATTCACATTAATTTAATCACTGTACACTTTTATTGTCCAAGAAACCAAATGTTCTGAGTCTTTCTTTTGTGAGAGTAGCTAATAGAATTATGTTTTTGTTTAAAGCTACTGTTAAATAGTGCTGCCATTCTTATTTTACTACCTTTGTAATGTCTGAAGTTGATTTGAAACAAATGGTTTCAAAACAATTAAATATTGTCACTAGGTGTTTGGATAATGTTACTGTAAAGCATTGTATTGATTATTTCACATATTGTTATCAAGCATCTTAACTTTTTCAAATAACATTTCCTAGAAATTTTGGAGCAAACTTTATGTAATCTTTATAATACAACCTCAGAAAAAAAGCAAATGCATTAGTATATTTGCCTTAACTTGTAGACTAATCCCAATTACTGTAAAATAAACAGCGCAGTCATTGAATTTTTCTAAAATCTTAAGTCATTGTATTATTGTAATTGGTAAGCCTGGTGATCTGATGTCTTCACTTTCTACTCATAATTATATTTGTTTTTAAATAAATACTTGATTCCCTACTACTATATATACATTGAGACACATATTTAGTGCATCATATAGAATACAGATTTGAAAAAGCCAATTTGGGACCTTAATCCAGTCTCCTACTCAGAGCAGGAATCCAAATTAAAGTGTCTCACACAGCGAATAGAATGGAATGGAATGGAATAGAATAGAAGCTGGAAGGGACCTTGAAGGTCTTGTAGTCCAACCCCCTGCTCAAGCAGGAGAACTTATACCATTTCAGACAAGTGACTGTCTAGCGATAGTCTCTTCTAAAAAACCTCCAGTGATGGAGTACCCACGATTTCTGAAGGCAAACTTCCACTGGTTAATTGTTAGGAAGTTTCTCCTTAATTCCAGGTTGCTTCTCTCTTTGGTCGGTTTCCAACCATTGTTTCTTGTCCTGCCCTCTGGTGCTTTGGAGAATAGTTTGATGCCCTCTTCTTTGTGGCAGCCCCTCAAATACTGGAATACTGCTATCATGTCACCCCCATTTCTTCTTTTCTTTAGACTAGCCAAACCCAAGTCCTGCAACCATTCTTCATATGTTTTAGTCTTCAGGCCTCTGATCTCTTTTAGTTGCCACTTGAATATATTCAATGAAATAGAGCCTACCAACTGGGCTCTAATTACTGGGTAATTAATTTCTCTGACAATCTGTTTTGTTAGAATTTTTTCTCACATTCAATTAGAATGTGCCTTTCTACCATTTAAATTGCTTATTCTGTATTTTATACCTTGGAACACAGATCTTGACATCTGTCATTTCCTCTCTCAATTGTTTCTTAAGGTTAAACATTTCCTAGTTCCTTCACTTTCTTCATATGGCATAATTTCTGGTCCATTGAACATCTTGTATTCTGAGTGTTCCAATTTTTCTGATTTTTGTAAGTGTAGTGTCCAGAACTGTACACTATTTGAGGTAAAGTCTGATCACTATATAGAGTAGTTCATTGCTACTCTGTGAACCGCTTTAAATCATTATTTCCGCCTCCGCTCCGTCTCTTTCAAAGGCTTCTCGCTTCGTCTCTCCTCCGTCTCTTTCAAAGGCCTCTCGCTTGCTCACTCACTCACTGCCCCGTCGCTTCCAAAGGCCACTTGCTCTCTCTCACTGCCGTCGCTTTCAAAGGCCGCTTGCTCGCTCACTCCTCCGTGGCCTGGAAAGACCCCTCTCGCTTGCTCTCTCCTCACTGCTTCGCTAACAAAAACATTTTCTATTCTTTCTCCATGTGTTTTTTTCCCCTCCCTCTCTCCCTCCAAAACCTGCTCTTTTATAGCTTCTCCTCTCTTTGCCCTCTTCTCTTCCGGGTGTGCCGGAAGCTCCAATCAGGCTACAGCCACGCATGCAGATCCTGGGGCTTCTGCCAAGCCTTGCAGCTCCAGCTGATCTCCAGGCCTGTGCGGCTTTAGCTGGTTCCCTCCCCCGCTACACTTGGCTAGGGGTGGCGTACCACCGGTTGAAAAGCCCTATGTAGAACACTGTGACTAGCCAGCACCCTGCTATATCCAATTAAATAATTAGAAAAAGATGGAAAATCCGGGAGTTGAAGTCCATAAATCTTTAAAATGCTGAACTTGAGAAACACTGGTATAGTGTGACGTGTGAACCGCATCTTATGTGCTGTTGTGTTATAGCATCTTAACTGGTAGAAGAATAAAGAGGCTAGAATATTCTGAAACATTAGTGATATTTATTAAGGAAAAATGCATACAATTTAAAATTAAAATATGACTGATTACTCCGTAGCGAAAGAGTTAAAGAAATCCTACCAGCATCGATATCCTGAATTGTAAGTCTTAATAGGCAAACTCATATCAGGCGACATAGAAAAAACTCCCCAGGTTCCAATTGTGAATCCAAAACTTTTTTTATAAATGGGAAGCTTCCCCTGTTCAGTCAGTCTGATCCCATTCCAGATTTTAATAGGGGACAGCGTCTCTTCCTGTCCCCAGCCGTTTTTCAGCCTTTCCCCTCTGCAAGCCTGGGGAGTTTCTTTTGTCTTGGGAGCGAAGGCAGATTGGGCGTTTTGGAAGATTCGCGTCGCTTTAATTGGCTGCTTTTTCCTTTCTCCGGTGTTTTTCCAAGATCAGGGATTTTGGACTGCAAACCCGAGTGAGTACTAGATGTAGGCGCAGGGAAGCAGATACGAGCGCATGAAGCTTGAAACCGGAACTAAACGCTTTCCGGATTTCTCTGCTGACTCAGGAACTGATGGGACCAACGCCAGGCTTAGCGGAAGAGGAAGTGACGGGAAAGGCGTTTTGTGCTAGTTGGAGGAACAAATTGACCAGGATTGTTTACAACGAAGTGGCCGGCATGAGTTCCCTGCGGGAAGAAGATGATCCTTATGTGATTGAAGAGCCCAGCGATGAAGAGCCAGCGCAGAGCAGGTCTTTTGGGTTTGGGAAGGCAGCCGACGATATCTTTTCATTTTCTTAAATCTGTGTGGGGTTGGGGTGTTTCGCGATCGTCAGCCGAAGGCGAAACGAACAGAGGCTTTTAATTAGTTACTGTCTAATTAGTTACTCTTTTAATTAGTTACTGTCGAGAGATCTTTAGTTACTTTTCTGAGATCATGCGAAACAGCTGTGTATTGCAATCTGCCGCTTTTTACATTTTGCAAAAAAAAAATCCCCTTGAGATCTTCACGTTTTTCTTTTCGATGTTATATCTTAAAGGGCTTCGTAAACTTTGATTTTGAGAATCGCTCTTGCTTATTTTTAACTAAGGAATCACCAAGCTGCCTTTGTTCTGTTTTGCACAGTAATATGTTACTTAGTAATGTATTTGAGTATTATCCCATACCAGGCAACCTGGGCTCAGTTGGGTCATTGCTTCAGAAATATTTCCTTACCTGAACAGAGAAACAGAATGACCAGAGTGGGTAGTAAAGCAGTGGGAGCAAGAGCAACTTTGGGCTTCCTCCCTCCCTTTCTGCTTATCCCTTCCCAGCAGGCAGGGTGAATGAATGGCTACTGCTGGGTGAGGGAGGGATGGGAGACTGTCTGGGAAACTGTCACGGAACATTAAAAATGAAGATCATGTGACTGCAATAGCATCCTGTAGCACTGAAGCAGGGATATCGTTCACAAATTCTATAATCATCAATCCTGGATTTTGGACATATTCTGAAAATTAGCCCATTTGAGGTAGCTTGGTTTAAAAATTGTTGCTGTATTATGTACAGTACAGTTAAAGGTCATGACAATGAGAATTTTAGTGATATATAGATCAAAATAGAATGCTGTTGTAAAAGGGCAGACATAAATTCACTTAGAGCACGGGTGTCAAACTCGATCGTGTCACGTGATGTAACGTATCGTGACGTATCATGATGTTTTTTGCCTTTGTGGAGCCGGGGTGGGCGTGGCCTGCACGTGACGCATTCGGCCCGTGGGCCGCCAGTTTGACATCCCTGACTTAGAAAGTTGCTTTTCATAAATGTCCTTCAAATAATTATCTCTCTGAGGTGAGGTGAACCTTTAAACTCACATTTTCTCTGGCTAGCTGGTGCTCCTAGCCAGCTGCTAATTACAAACTACTTAGAAATATCTTCTTTAAGAAATGTTAAACAAGGACTACCTGTGTGATATTCATCCTGAAATAATGATCTCTAATATCTCATCCTCTACGCCACCATGTAGTTCTGAAGATGAAGTGGATGTGCTCTTATATGGCACCCCAGAGCAGAAGCGTAAACTGATACGGGAGTGTCTCACAGGAGAAAGTGAATCTTCTAGTGATGATGAATTCCAAAAGGAAATGGAAGCTGAACTTAGCTGCACCATGAAAAATATGGAAGGCCAGTGGAAGTCACAACTTCCAGGTAAACATTTTTCCAGAATTTAAAAATATGAATTGGCTTTCCAGGTCTTTTTAACGCTGATTAGTTTGGGGAAGATCAGCTCATTTCAACTAATTTTGCCAATTTGCTGCAACCATGAGGAGATACTCAACTCTTAAGTATTGAGCAATAAGAGACTGGATAATGGAACTGTAGTTCTGAGACCTGTTATGCTGCAAAAATAGCAATCAAAATAAATCAAAGTGCTCATTTTTTTAATTCCATGCAATTACAAAATTTAAACAGGGCAACAGGACTCAAGACTATATTTCCAATATCCGGTCTCTTCACATTTTCCATCAATAAATGTAGAGAATGCTTGTTAATAAAATTGCTAATATACATTTCTATTTTACTAATATTTTTAATAATATTGTTAAATTTAAATATTTAAACAACAGAAATCCCATTCAGGCAGCTGTACTTTGAAGATTGAAAGTTAATTTGCTGTGAAGGAGTGTGATGTTTCTGCGTCAAGGCACTCCAAGCATTTGAAACAGATTTGTGCCTACTTAAGATTTTAAGTCTAGAAGATACAGGGTTTCTCATATTCACTGAGGAATCAATTTAATTTGTGCAATTGTAGGATCATTGTAATGAGAGGCCAGGATATTGACACTGAATCAAATAGTTGCTTTTTTATGCAATTAACTGACAATGCAATCCTACGCTGGGATTTGCTTATGAGTGCATTTTGTGTAGGATTGCACTCTAGGTAGTTTGAACAAGCATATTCTTCCAACATAATCACTCATAGCATTGTTGGCAGGGTGATCATCTCTGGTAGTTTTTGAGAGATGTTGGAATAAAGATTAATACATCATTTGCTAAGCTATTGCTTAAAAAGGAACTATTATTAACATCTGGGCATGGCTAACTGACTGCATGGGTTTAAAGGAGAATTAGAACAATTTATGAAGAAGAAGACCATCTATATTTATAGGGCTATACTGGTTATACATTAACTCCTTGATTAGATCTTGGTACCAGTTGCTGAGACAGACAGGATATTTGGACCCAATTTTTTGCTTATAGGTTCCTGTAGGTTTTTGGTTGATTACTGTGAAAGCAGAATAATAATTGGTCTGAGTACAGTTGATCTTACGTGTAAAGAATATAAACACCAAAGCAATTAACAGTTGCATGAAATTTCAATGTATAACTAGAAGGATATGTACATATTTGCTTCTATGTAATGATCTCATAATTGTATGTTTCTTATGACTTAGGTGATGCTTCTGTTGCTGGGCAGTCTGAATCTGTTTCCACTTCTAAGTATTATGATGATATTTATTTTGATTCCGATTCAGATGATGAAGATGTAGTAGGTAAATAACCAATAATTTTATAGCCTGTGTAAAAATATAAACAGTAAAATTCCTTTGTCTTCCAAATACAAAATAAGCTCTAAAAATCTGAAGTGCTAGTTTTATTTTGTTTGTTAATTTAAAAAATGCAAATAAAATGAACACATATACATCTCCATGCAAATTTAGTATACAATTCTATGGATGCCATCATGGATGCCACTTATTTATTAAATTTATACATTGCCCATCTCACTATCCAAAATGAAACAATGAAAATAGGTGTGAATAGAGCTACTAATGTGTTTATCTTTCCTTAAGGATTACAGTATTCTTTTTAGTCTACGAATTTGATCTGCACAAAAGTTGAATGTGTATTTCCCTCTTCCCCCTCCAATACACACTTACAAGCCATTGGAAGATGGCATTGATTTTTAGCCTGTGAAAGTTGATTCTAATTTTGTCTATTTTTGACAACAGTAAATTAATACTGTGAATATATATTATTTATTTTATTTATTAAACACATTCAAATGACTTCCTAACTTAACCAATATATTCTGGATGATGAAGATGAACATACTATAAGCCACCTAAAGTTGCTTTGGATGGTGAGATGGGTGGCATATAAATGTGATAAATAAATAAAAACACAATGAACAGATACAAGAATATTGAAATTCTAATTCAAGTCACTCGTAAGCATTTCTCTAACAATATAAAACAAAGCACACATACCAAACTCATAACCACTTGAGATGCTACATTTATAATTGTAGCTTCCAAGTAGTCTTCAAGGACAGCCCTATCTAGAATGCATTGTACTAATCCATACATGGGGTGCCCAGGCATAAGTAACTGAGAAACTCTATATATGTGACTATAATATATGGAGATATCAAACTGGGTAAGGCCAAATTTAAACTATCACTTTTAGGAGATACCTGTTTGGAATATTTTTCGTACATACCCATCCAGGAGCTGTTAATTCAACAGGAGCTTTGGTTTTTGAGTTATACATTTTGGGTCTATAATCTGACTACAAATATAATCTGTCTCAAACATGACAGGTTCTGCAGAAGCCAGAAAAAAGAGAAAACATCATGAACGGCGAATTCCAACTAATGATGAGTTATTTTATGATCCAGAAGAAGACAATAGAGATCAGGAATGGGTAGATTCGATAAGAAGGAGGTAAGAAAAATGATAATTTTGAATGAAACTTTACTCTGTGATTAAAACTAGCTTACATTAAGAACTCAGAGCTTTAAAGGTCTTAACTCAGCTAGATTATGCATTTAAATTTAGATACTGCCTAAAGTTTCCAGAATATGGTGGAATATAAATTGATAAGTAAATAAATAAATTGCATTTTCACCACAGTTCATGTGGTCCACAGATCATCTTATTGCCTTAACGTCACCTTTTTTTCTGAATCCCCAAGATGGAAATTAACAATATAACAACAATATAACATTATAACAGGGCTGGAAGGGACCTTGGAGGTCTTCTAGTCCAACCTTCTGCTCAGGCAGGAAACCCTATACCATTTCAGACAATTGGTTGTCTGCTGTAATCAGGTCACATTAATTATTGAGACTTCTAGGACTATATCATAGAATCTTTTATTCCTGTCAGTATTTTATGTCACTGCAAATTTTATTACCTACCTTTTTTTCTTAGTGTGAAGTTTTAATTTTACTTAAGGGTGATTAGATTTGATTGTGTGCCATCAAGTCATTTTAAACTCCTAATGACCATATCGATAATCTTCATGACAGTCTATCTCTAACCTATTCTTTCAAGTCTCACCATGGTGCACTCACCATTGTAACCAAATCCACCTACCTGCTGCTGGCAGATTTAGTTTTATTTATTTTTTTATTTTGGTATAAATTATGATAAGAGTTCCAGGATCCAATTGAGTCAGTCACCGGGGCCAGGGTTTTTGTCTTCTGAGCTTTTGGACTTGTGCTGGAGCCCATCTTCATCTTTTCTCTAGCAGAAAGTGTGTGCTGTTCTGTGTGTGGTATTTATAGTGCCTGTTGTAAGTGGCTTTTTAAATGTTGATTGGGGTCTGTTGATGGATGGCTTTTAAGTCATTAGCTGTCATTTGCTTTTGCTGCCCAGTCCTCGCCTTATAAGTGGAAAATCAGCACTCCTGTTGACAGGACAAGTCTGAAAACTTGGAAGACAAAGACCTCTGGTCCCAGTGACCGACCCAGATTGGATCCTGCAACATTATACTGGGACACGTATTTACATATTTCTGATTTTCTGCCATTGTTGTAATTTTTTTATTTAATTATTGGTACATCAAATGAGTCTTGGTGTCTGGTAACTCCTTCCTGTACATTCAGTTAGGGAAAGCTGTGCCAGTTGGAATCACATTTTAAGCTAGTTTAAGGCAGGAAGCTATTTCATTTGCATTGCTGGATTTTCTAGTAATTATACAAATGTACATACGATAAAATTGCATTGAGATACATGCACTAGAGAGATTGTAAAGAATCAGAACTTAGATCTGACTTCCATACCTGCGGTTAAATAATAATTGTTTTTTTGGGGGGGGATTATATAAACACCAACTTTCCCTTTGCCCATTCAATAATTATATAAGAGATCTCTAGTTCTGTCAGCATTGGCCTGATGACATTAGCACCTTCTTCAGGGTGTCATCTGTTTGTGTTCCTGGAGTAATGTGGGATTGTCCTGTTGGGTTTCTCATGTCAGTTTGTTTCTGCTTGCATTAAATATGAATAATATGGGTAATCAGGAGGAAAATAAGAATTTGTGTAAAACCTGTATCAAAAGGGTGGTAGAGGGTGAAGCCATTTCATTTTGGTGTGATATTTATGTAGTTAGGACATTGAACATCATCCATCATTTCTTGGTTTTTGGTATGCATCATATCAATAAAGATTGCTATACTAATAGTGATGCTTCTTTACTTTTGTGCTTTCTCGCTGAAGTTATCATAATATAAGAAATGTTCAGTCACAACAACAAGAAAAACCTCCTGCCATTCCCAACAGTGATGCTATTTTGAACTGTCCTGCTTGTATGACAACATTATGCCTTGATTGTCAAAGGTAATGATTTGAACTCTGCATAATATAAGATAATATTTATGTGGTTAGGTTAGTTTAATTTTCAATTCAGTTTCTGGAGATATGTACCTTGCATGGCCTTAAAAAAAAAAGGACTTTGTATAGATAGTCTTCGATTTACAACCACAACTGAGCTCCAAATTTCCACTGCTAAGCAAGACGGTTAAGTGAGTTGTGTCCCATTTTACAACCTTTTTTTGCTACAGTTAAGCAAATCATTGCAATTGTTAAGCTTCTCCTATTGACTTTGCTTTTTGAAAGTCAACTGGGAAGGTTTCAAATGATGATCACATGATTTCGGGACAGTGCAACTGTCATAAATACGTGCCAGTTACTAAGCACCCAAATTTTTATCACCTGAGCATGGGGATGCTGCAAGGGTCGTAAGTGTGAAATCCGATAATTAACTTTGAACAGTTACTAAATCAATGGTTGTAAGTCAAGGACTACCCGTATATAATTTTTCATCATTAGTTTGTCAATAGTGAAAACATGAACGGAATAATTTCTTTACCAGTACATTTAGATGCATAAACCTATTCATATCTGTTATGTGATGAAAGTTTCCATTCTTCATATGCAGCCTGCCCCGAGTCTGCTGCGATGGATTTTTCCATCTTGTGCAGCAGACTGGGAGGAAGAATTAGTTTCACTAGTGAATATACTTTTGTCAGTTCAGTGATGCAATTGAATTTGGCACAACAGTACAATAGTTTGAGTAATAGCAGGCAATTATTCTCTAAGATGGATCACATCAATCTAGTAAGTCTCTCCCTGCCTTAAAGCTACAAATTAAAAACAAATAAGACATACAATGTAGAGAAGGGAGATTCATTTTTTTTTAAGTTCAGAATAAAATGGTAATATGAGCTGTACAGGTAATCCTTGAGTTACAGCTGTAATAGAGCCTGCAGATTACAGTTGCAAGTCATGATGATTGTTACGTGAGGTGCCCATGTGTGGGTCAATAAGCAGAGCATGGGGTGCCCTCAGATGCCATTTAATATTTAAAGGGTTATCAATTTTGAAATATTTAATCAGTCAAGGTCACTACGTTTTTCCTTCTCCCCTGGTGTTCTTTTTAGGCATGAATTATACAGAACTCAGTACAGAGCAATGTTTGTGATGAACTGTACAGTTGTCAAAGAAGAAATTTTGAAATATAAACACCCACTGAAAAAGAAGACAAAGAGAGGACACAAGAAAATTAAGCAGAGTAACGAATCAACTACTGGCTCAGAAAGCCAGGAAGAAGAGATATATCACCCAGTAAAATGTACCGAATGTTCAACAGAAGTGGCTGCATTAGATAAGGATGAAGTCTTTCATTTTTTCAATGTATTGGCAAGCCATTGCTAAGATGCACTATTTTACATCCTTCAAGATTATATTAAAATTTCAAAGTGAAAGATGATTTAATCTAAGACCCCTTTTGTATTTTTAAAAACTCTGCTTGACTAATCTGAAATGGAGATTATGGTATCTGTGTTCTTCTCTGTAAAGATAAAACAAGAGAACTTTTAATTTATGTACATAAGTTGAACAGTTTTATTCTGTTAAGTAGAATCAAAATAGTTCTGAGTTAAAGAGATATCAGTCAATTTTCATACTTTATTTAATGGCTGAATTATAAAAAAAAGATATTTTCAACATTTAACAGTCCAAGATTAATTCTCTTTAATTATGAATAATCTAGTGTATTTTTTCCTGCCTATTATTTCATATAATTCCTGAATTATGTGCTGTCTGTATTAAAGTTGATCTATTATTAAAGGATATGGAATGTTGAGGTAATCCGCCAATAATTTTCTCCATTACTTAACACTCCTAAACCTAAATTACACATACATAGTCACTAACATGATATCTTCTGGAAAATTCTCTGCACACTATGTTCTCACCTTTGATTATGTTAGGTTGGCATGATTACAAATGGCATAATTTTACAAACCTACCAGTTAAAAAGATTAAAAATAATACATCGTTCAAGTCAATAAAAGTGTGACTTGGAGCCCAGCCAGCAGCATACTATATTCAAAGAATAATAAAAGTATATAGTTCAGGAAGAACCTCCAAAATGAAGGCAATTTTAACCAATACGAAGAAGCATAAAGAGAAATGTAAAAACTATAAGATACCACAGTTCTGAAAGTTTTCTGCCATAGCTAAAAGGAAGAGAGATTTATAAGACTATGAAGCAGTGTTTTTTGCTTAGGTACCATTTCACTTGGGAATGGAGAAATAAATCACCTTTCCTTTGCAATTGATGCACAGAAAATTGGGGGAACAAAGAAGCCAGACTTCCTTTGATTAACATGTTTGTTATGATTGACAGAAGGAATTTGTTCAGGATGTGTTCACATCTCTGGTGACAGTTCCTCATGGAAATATCTTTTCTGAGAGCTTCCGGTTTGCCATTGGCGCCTTCGGACGCATGGAGGCGAACTCCGTCTTCAGCGTCCAATTTCATCTCACTGGAGGACCCTGGAAAGGGTTGAAAGTCGCCCTGTAGTGGCGACGAGCGAGGAGAGAATCCCCATTTGATCATGGGAGGGTGGTTCTCCAAACCGGCAGGGGAAAAGACCGGCCATAGCAATATGGCTCGTCATTAAGCTACTGATAGCTGAAGTCAAAATTACTACCAAGTATCTTTAAAGCAGTGGTTCTCAACCTGTGGGTCGGGACCCCATTTGGGATCGATCAACCATTTCATGGGGGTCGCCAAGCAAGGCTGTCCGCCATATTTTTCCCCCTTTTCCGGTGGGTGCCTTACCTCCCTTGGGCTGGGCCAGCTGGTGGTCGGCCTGCTCCGTCTCTGCCGCTTGCCAGCTACGCCTCGGCCGGCGCAGGGGGCGGAACCACGCATGCACGGCGCTCCCGGGCAGGGAAAGTCCTCGACTTACGACCGGTTGAGTAGTCCTCGACTTACGACTGGTTTAGTCCTCGACTTACGACCGGTTTAGTCCTCGACTTGCGACCGGTTTAGTCCTCGACTTACGACCGGTTGGGGTCGCGGCATTAAAAAGGTTGAGAACCACTGCTTTAAAGCAATATGGATGAAACTGGGTGAGATCTGATCTTCTCTTTAAGACTCTAAATATCTTTCCTGAAAAGCTGCCCTAAGTATCTTTCCCCCTGTGAGGACCCATACTATAAAAAAGCGTACCACCCCAGTTGTAAATCATGTCCCTCCAAATATAACAACCTTTTGTTTCTAAAACTTATCCATTCTTTTACCCATGTTAATACGGATGCTTGATAAGACCCACTCTGGCAAACCAAAACCTCCATTTTCCTTGGCTTCTTGTAACATTTTCATCTTGATTCTAGCTTTCTTTCCTTGCCAAATAAATTTTAAAATTAATGAATTTAAATCTTCAAAGAATTTTTTCTGGTTTTATAGGTATTGTTTGGAATAGAAATAAAATTTTTGGTAGTATATTCATTTTCACTGTAGCAATTCTTCCTAATATTGACAGTTGCAAGTTTTTCCATTTTTCCAAATCCAATCTTATTTGGTTCAATAATTTTGTATAATTATCTTCTTTTATTGTTGAACATCTTGCCATTAAATATATTCCCAGGTTTTTAACCTTTTTGACTATTTGTAGTTCTATTTTTTCTGACATTTTTTTTTGCTTATCTGAGAGATTTTTAACTATTTCTTTAATTTTTTCTCTGTTTATTTTCAGTCCTGCTATTTCTCCATACTGTTCTATCTTTTCCAGTAGTTTAGGAATCGTCTCCAAAGGTTCTTCTAGGATAAATACCAAATAATCTGCAAATGCTTGCAATTTGTATGTTTCACCTTTTATTTCTAGTCCTTTAATTTCTGTATCTTGTCTAATATTTCTATTTAGAACTTCCAAAGTTAAAATAAATAACAATGGAGATAATGGACATCCTTGCCTTGTACCTTTTCTTTTTTTTTTTCAATATAAAATTTTATTGTTTTTATCATAAAAGAGAAAAGAAATACATCACAGGTATTACACAATGTTTTATCCCATCCCCCCACCCCCCGGACTTCCCAAACCAAACCTAGGCTAATATTCAAATACAAGTAAACAAATATTAATATCTCTAACTCCAAACTCTAAACTTAAACAATCCATCTCCTCCGTGTTAATAAAAATTATTCATTTAATTAGTTCTTCTAATACCCAA